CCCAAAAAAAAGAGAGAATTTTACATTATTAGGTTTAAATTGTTATAAGAGATGATCATTTCCTCAAAATAACTATAGGTAGTTGTCATGTTATAATAAACAAACAACATCAGAGGCGGATCTAGTATTTTTAGTCCATAAGTGTACTACTTAAAAAAAGAGAAAAATATATATTAAGTGGAAATTTATCACTATTCTTCTTAGTAATAACTCAACTTTGAACCAAACGCATCATTTAACATTTTTGGAGCTATACCAATTTTAAAATATATATATATATATATATATATATATATATATATGTATATATATATATATAATGTTGCGGAGAAACGCCATGACTTTACGTGCCTCGTAATCTAATTCACCCCTGAACAATATACCCAGTGTCATCTTACAAGTGAGGTTTAGGAAGGGTGAGATGCACGTAAAATATTACTCCTACTGTGTGTGAGATAGAAAGATTATTTCCGATATAGTATCGGCTCAAGAATATCATGTTATAAGTAAACTGATAGCATATTATAATATTTCTGTGGTACTGCAGGAAGACGAAGAGGGTCCGGGCGTATGTAGCATATACGTGATGGGTTTAACTAAATTCATAATTTTCGATACGGAACATAAATTTATGTATAAAATGTACTAAAACTGCAACGAATACTAAATTTGAACTCATAGCTTTAAAAATATAATGAGCTCAATACTAAAAATCTTAAAGGTCGAACCCATAAAGTTTAAACCCTGAATCCGCTTTAGAAAAGGGTGCATACCTGAAAAAGACCGGAGATTGCTTGAGCAGCAGCAAGGCGACCAGTAGAAAGAGAAGCATCAATGGCTATTTGTGAAGCCAAAGCCTCCAAAAATGGCTCCGGCCAAACACCATTTCCCCCACCTCTACGCGTCCGCGATGAAGACGGTCCACCACCAGTACCGCCTCCGCCTCCATTACCGCCATCTCCTCCTCCGCCTACTTCTTCTGAAGACGACATATATGAGCTAATACAACAACAATAACAACTACACCTCAGTTACAAATAAATTAGAGACTGTTCGGAATTTGGCTATATATGTAAGTAGTGTTAGCCAAAAAGGCAAGTGATGACTGTTGGGAAAGATCCTTCTAATTATATGTGATCAGAATATATATATAGAGAGAGAAAGTGGGATACGAGATATAGAGGTGTTATTAGTCCTGCATTTAAATATCAAAATGCGTAAAATAAATGAAATGGGAGGTTTATTGAAATATTTCTAATCGCTGGTAAAGGCGGCGGAGGAGAACATGGTTCGGACCATGCAGAGGTTTAACAACAACATGAGAAAGAGACTGCTGGTATGTTCCATTCCGGGTGAAAATTTTATTTTGTGTCTTATACAACTGACATTAATTGTATGAGATATCTTTTTTGTCTCACAGTTTTGTGGACCCAGATTTTGTGCACCCAGAAGTGTAAGATTGGGATCCACAAATTTGTGACAGAAAAAGGAGTCTCACACAACTAATGTCAGTTGTGTGAGGCACACAATAAAACTTCTCCATTCTGCATAATCCTTTTCAGGTGTTCGATCTTGACACGTCGACCTGCTCTTTAAATGGAGCGTGGTGCACAAAGCATTGCGCATTCACGTAATTTTTGGAAAAAAAAGTAATTTAAGGATTATAATGTAGATAGTCTATACTAATACAAAAACAGTAGCGTAGCCACCCTAGCCAAGAGTGGTCAAGCGCAGAACACCCTTCGCCGAAAACTTATAATGCGTGTATAAGTTAAATACTTATCCCTCCGTTCATCTTTACTTGGCATGTATGCATGTATACTAAAAATAGTTTTTCATTTTTACTTGTCACTTTACGCATATCAAGAGAAGACAAAAAAAAATTTCTGTTATACCCACAGTATTTGTTACTCATTTCAAATCATTTTCTCAAATTCAATAAAATATGCATCAATTAATATGGGTATCATGGTAAATTATGCACTTCATTTATTATTTCTTAGGGGACGTGAAAAGTCAAAACGTGCCAAGTAAAAGTAAACGGAGGGAGTACTATTTTATACGGATATATATTATATTTTGAACCCGTAATACAGTTGAGTGCAGCAGTCTAGCGGTTCAAGGCAAGTGATGTGTTATTCACGGGTTCAAAGTTCTGCCCATTTTATTTACCAAAATTAAACGGAGACCGCTATGTGTGGTCTATTTGTTTCTTTTTGAATCTAAAAAATTTCCTAATAAAATAATTCTTAGAATTTAAAATTTATGTAGAAATAACCAACTAATCTTAAAAGTAATTTTTTTAAACTAAAAGCTATTTCTTAAATAAATTTTATAATTTAAAAGTCAAGCTCTACAAAAATTTCTTTAACAAAAGCTCTCTACAAACAACAAATGCTCTCCGCTCTGTCTTTCTGTTGGTTTTATGTTACTTTTATTAGTAAAATTTCTAACGTTGTCTTCGTGTTAGTTTAATTTTAATTTATAAAATTATAGTTCTATTAATTTTTTTCTGTAATTTTTTAGTTAGATATTGCATAGTTTGATTTTAAAAAAATTAGTACACCATTCATCAACAAAAAAGTTATTGACTTGTTTAAAGTTTGAACGGCGCCCTTAGCGGAATTCTTGGCTATGCTACTGTACAAATATTAATGGCTGTTTCTACGGTCAGGGGCGGACCTAGAGCATAGAATACGGGTTCTCGGGAACGCAGTAACTCTTGCGTAGACCATGTATTTATATTAAAAAATTTACTAATTATTTCTAAATATCTAACTGTGAACCTAGTTATTATTGCATATTAATTTGAAATTACGGTAGGAACCCATAAGCCTCAAATCCTGAATCCGCCTCTATCTACGGTGCGACCTCACCTATAAGTATAGCTTTGTTGTTGCTCTATGGTTCCCCTACATACTTTTTATTTTTCTATTGTTTTTCTTTTCCCCTCAAGAAATAGAACTCCTTTATTTTGCTTTAACTCAAATTTCTACTTGATTGAATAAAGAAATTTATGGGAAAGTGTTTTTATTGGCGAATCTAGGATTTTAGTTCCATAGATTCAATATTTAAAATTATGAATTCATATCTTTTATTTATTGTAATTTTAGTAATTTCTTATACATAAATTTATATTTTGCGTTGAAGATATTGAGTTCAACTAGGTTCAATTGAATCCGGTAGTTCTATGTTGCATCCGCAAGGAAAGATTTTGTACTTTCTTTTATTGCTCTTTTTGAGTATTGTACTATGACATGTTTGAAATTGGAAATAGGACAATTCTTTTTTTTACAATTACTATATGTCCTTGTGTACTAATGGAAAACATCCATTTTCTTTTTCCTTTCAGTCTCTTTTTCATGGATTTTATTGCTTTAGTAAGGGTGTACACGTAAAAGGAGCCCCCTTACACCTCCAATTAAACAAATGATTAATGTGAAGCATGCTCCCTTTCTACTTCAATAAGTATGTAAGTAACTTTTTCTATTAATAGAAAGATGGTAGTTTATATATAGATAAATTTGACACATAAAAGAAATATGATTTTGTGCTTGTATGCAATGTGGAAGCCAGATTTTTCATTCAAGGTTGTCAAAATATTAAAAAAAAAAAAAATTTAACGAAGAAGGGCTAAAAATTATCCTTATTATTTGGTAAATGATTTACTTTTATTCTCTGTCCACCTTTTGGTCCAAATTTAGATATAACGTTATCTTTTGGTCTAAAATTACCCCCCGCGACTAACTGAATTTTCTGTGATCCCTTTTTAAATGTGCTAGCAACATGTCATTGGGACACGTGACACCCTGATCCGAATTGATCTTTACTCGCCACATACTAGGCCCACCCTAATTCTTTGACCGCCTAATTGCAAAATTCTAGTACTCTATGTCAAGGGGATTCAACATATATATA